AACAACCCAAACAGAAAGGGAAATGAAAGAAAATCTATTCATTAATAAGTATAAACCTACATTGAATAGATAAAAGCATTGGTAAAAGTAACAATTAAACACCCATTGTTACAGACGTCACATTTTAGCCTTTATGACATCACCTAGTAACAAATAAACAAAACCCCCTGAAGAAAGAAAGAAACCGGTCGGGGCAAAAAAAGTTGCTGTTCTTTTTTTTCTTTTTAAATACTCGTACAGGAAAAACGCTTTTACTTTTAATATATATATATATATATATATATATATATATATATATATATATATATATATATATATATATATATATTTTTTTTTTTTTTTTTTTTTTTTGGGGGGGGGGGCTAGTACACGGGACTTCCATAACTGCCAGGGAAATGTGATGCTTATTATCAAATTAAGCTTAATTTTCAGTGTTTTTCTCAACTTTATTACCACTATGATATATGTTTATTGGCTGACAAGTGTGTATCCTTGCGTATTTTGAGAAAATCCAAAATGGATGACATTTGCTATATCAATGCCGATTCAATTGGGTTTCAATTGTATACTGCCAGAGAAACATATAGAGTCAATAATGATAAAATACAATTAAATTCAGTTTGTTTCTAATTTTTTACATCCCTATGATATATATCAATGATAGATGACAAGTGTGTATCCTGGGACATTTCGAGAAAATCCAAGATGGCCATTATTTGCCGTAGGAATACAAATTTACCGAGTTTCAGTACTACCAGAGAAACGTACGGTTCGTAATAAAATAAAAATTAAATTTAGTTTCTTTTTCAGCGTTTGTCTCATCCCTATAGCTCCTGTCATAAATGCCAAGCGGTTACATGTATCCTTGTGCACTTTGAGAAAGAGGGAGATGGCTGCCGATTGCCATACCGGTATAAAAACTGATAAGACAAGAGTTTAATTTCAGCCATAGATATATAAATAAAATTCGCAAGTAACGGAAATTGGATTGCTATTCGGGTAAAGTGTATAAAGTGTAAGATAACAGTATAGTTTCTGAAATAGAGTTGCTAAAAATTCTAATTTTTGTTGTTAAAATGAGAGAGAACAGATCGGTAAAAACTCTAAAAACATTTTAAACCCACAGATCTTTTAAAACTTATAAGTCTAAATTTACTCGGTAAAAAATTTAATAGACTGTGCAGGATGGGGTACAGTCAGGCATATTTTTTCCTGTTTTTGCTTCTAATCTTTCCGTATAAATGGCACGTATGGAGTGGACATCAAGACCAATGATTTTGCTACATGTACAACTGCCACCACATCGCAACGCTTGCGGTCTTCTTCAGTGGCACGTCCATACCATACTGTGATTGAAAATTTGAAAAGACTCTCAATTATGCACCTGTAAAAGTTCGATAAAATAATTTCATTTGATGTAAAACCCTTCAACTTTCTTAAAAAGTATACCCTTTGACTTGCCTTTTTAACTGTTATGTGTGTGGTTCTTTCATGTCAGTACCCTGTTGAATACCACACCCAGCAGACTAAAATCGGAAACTTGCTTTACTGCAGTTCCACTGATGTGGGCTCTTTTACATTTCTATTCTTTCCTTAACCTGATTCTATAGTTCAATTACCGCCAGAGAAACATATGGCCAATAATGAAATTGAAATTAAGTTTGTTTCTCAGTGTTACATTACCACTATGATACATGTACGCATATCTGCAGGTGAATAACAAGTGTGACCTTCAGTATTTGAGAAAAAATTAAGATGGCTGCTATTTATTAGAGAAATATTACATGTAGCACAAAGGTTTCAGTTACTGCCAGACATAGTAATGAAGGTAACTTCAGCTCATTTTCTAGTTTTTTTATTATTTCCTTTGTGGTGTGCATGTGTGTGTATATATGAAAAATTGTGTGTTTTTTTTACAAAATTCAAAAAATACTGGTACCCCAGTACACTGCATTTCAGTAACTGCCAGGGAGATACATGTTCATTATCAAATTAGGTTTTTTTGTGAGTGTTCCTTACATCTATAATATCACCATGATAAACATCTCCTGTGTATTGAGCGTATACGCCTGAGATTTTATGTAAAAACTGCATGGTGACTGCCATTTGCATTGAAAAAACTAGTAAATCACCTTTACTAGTATTCCTAAAGCACATGATGTCCATTTTGGCTTTTCTCATAATGCTAAGGATATTCACGAGTTACATATTAGATGTATATCATAGCCTCATAGGGATACTAGAAATACAATAAACACTGAGAAACTGACTAAAGCTAACTTAAATTCATATAATAAAGAACTCTTTGGCTCTCTGGCGGAAATTGAAACCCATGTACTGGTATCCCTGAGGGAACTGGTGGCCATCTTGGAATTCCTTAAAATATCCCAAGATAACATGCTTCTTCTCCACCATATGAATATTATATGGGTATTTAGGTTGTGATAAAACTGAGAAAAAAACAACTTTTACTTAATTTCAAAATGGATTTTGCATCTCCCTGCAGTTGTTGAAACCCATGTAGTGTTCCTACGATTGAGTCATTTCTGATTGCATTAGAAGGGTCAAGTTCTAAAAGAACAAATTCTTTAGATAAACAAAAGTTTATTAACACAATGTTATTTATGCACAGTGTTACAAGTAAGAATAATTGAGTAAGAATCGCCAAAATTAAGAACAAAACATCATTTGTTTAGGGTTCCACCTGAAAGGTGTCAAATCATCCACTTACCAAAAAAAAAATTTCTTGAACCACAATAATTTATTCCAAATATGTCAAAAAAGATAGCCTGGGCAATTTTAAATATCAATTTTCATATACTGCAAAATAAAAATAATAAAAAAAAATTTTAATGTTTGATTTTAAAAGAATTATTCCAATCAATCAAAAGAAATAAATAATGTACAGATCTCAAACATGCTGAACGACTGCAGAATAATGAAGTATATAAAAACACATTGTTCATACATTGTGTCAATATTCACTCTGTATGCTTTATATTACAGGTCAGAAACAGAGACAATGTAACATGTAGTTGCAAGCATGTTTATATGTATATGTGTACTTCAAACCTAGCTACAAGTGTGTATTTTTCCGACACCTAGACAAAAATTGATCTAGGTGATAAACAATGCATGCCGTTGACACATCTGGCACATCCTAATTACAAAGTTATCTGAGGGATTATTGACAAAGTACATGTAAATTTACATAAATATCTCTGTGCACAATACGATGTGCCTTTTCTTCCATCTTTTTTTTTTTTCAGCGTGTATTAGGAGATGTCAGAGATGAAATGTCCGAATTCCTCTTCTTATGCATCCGATGGCGCCTGGACACAAATGAGATGATAGTCCTTGTCTGAAATAAAGAAAAAAATAAAAACTGAATAAATATTAAATACTTAACCTTACAAATTAAAATGAGCTGGCATTTGTTGGCAAGAGACCCCCCCCCCAATATCATTTCCTCATTTCTACATTCTTAGTATTATTAGGGGCAAAAATACTGGGATCTTTTGTCTTTAATGGAACTGAAAATCCATTTATTTAATCTGGTCATCTGTTTCTGTTGCCACTGTTATGCAAGTGCTTGACTTCCTAATGCATGATTAACAATTTGTTTGAATATCATATCTAATGGATAGTGAGTTGTTCTACAGAAATTCACAATGATTACAAATGGCAGTATAGACAATTCACAGAAAAACTTGAGATAAAGGCACCAGTACATCCACTATATCATCAGGGGCAAAGGAGTCATACATTCAACAGTACTATGTATAAAACTTGAAGAAAAAAATCGCAATCATATAACATTAACTGACACGATCATGTCTACAACAAACAATGCTTAAAAAAGTTCTTTAAAAATTGCTTGAAAAAACTCAAAAATAAAAACATGTCTAGTGTGTATTAGTTTGTGTGCCAAAGAGAAGAAATTGCAACTGCTCTGTGTGTGTGTGTGTGTGTTTGTGCCAGCACATATTTTGCAGAGGAAGGAGTACAGCATGTATGCACATGAGACTACAATTTTAATTTGTTACAAAAAATAGCCACAGATAACTTGTCTCAGTCATCTTCAAACATTTCGAATAAAATGAGTAAAAGAGATGAAATTTCTAGAGTTCAGGCTTTCATATCAACATTTGTAGCACACTACTATAAAATTCAAGCACATCTGACTTGATTCATAATAAATGACCTATATAAACTAAATTGTAATACATTTCCTCTCTAAGTTATCTATTATACAAAAGGTTATGGCCACACAGTGGCAACATTTAAGAATTTCTATCTAAAATAAAGGGTTCAAAAATAATATTTTGGACTCCCAAAAAGTTGGAAATCTGCCGACAGTCTGAAAAATCTTGGCCAAAATGAACAGTTATAATCCCTTCAAGTAAGAAAAAGAATCAGCTTTTGAAAGACTATATTAATATGATATTTATAATCAAGGGATAAGCCAACCAGTTGCCCAGCAGTCATTATGACAGGATATTTGAGCAGTGGACAGCATAACTTATGGTTAGACGGCTCGTTAAAATTCTTATGACTGAACGGCTTGTTGAAATTCACCCTCAACCCACATCCCTCTTTAAAAATCATTGAAAAAAGTGAACCTAACAAAATCTACTTATCTGACATAAAATGCTCTTAAAGAGCTTTTGAAAAAAAATTATGAGCTGGCCAGGGAAAGAAGTTGTCACAGTCCATTTTCTGTGCATATTTCACCTAAGAGCCATCACCAAGGACTGTCGCCAACAGAAAGCTGCTTCCCACATGATACTGCACGACAGCAAGAAAGGTCTTCATTAAATTTGCAAAACTAAAGCAACAGATTCTGACGCCAATTCAATACGTACCTGGTGCCACCATAATCTCATGTTTCTTAGATCTAATCCTTACAAAAGACAGATCATTTGCTGGATCTAGGTCTCTGACAGTGTGCCTTGCCTTTCCACATAACGAGGTAACCAATGTGGCATACTGGACAGTGGTGGAGTTATCAAGTGTGCTCCTGATTGGGATACCTAGAGAATATGAAATAAACAAATAAATTAAAAGCAAAATTTCTTTAAAAATATTTCTTCATCCAATGGCCATATAAGCTGACAGGACTGAGCATAGTTCATCTGTATTCTGAGTGGATCAGCTGAAGTCTCAGAGAAGGAGACGCAGCAGTCAACTAGACTTATTTGAAAGTCCAGTAGTACATTTGAATAGTTTATTCCATTATTGCTCATTACCATTTGTAGTCAAAATGAATGTGACAGCTGTTCCCGTCATTATGAGAAATGTGATAGTTGTTCAACTGTATGTTTACTTATTATGCCAATTGTGATAGTCGTCCCTGTTCACTTATTATGCCAATTGTGATAGTTGTCCCTGTTCACTTATTATGCCAATTGTGATAGTCGTCCCTGTTCACTTATTATGCCTATTGTGATAGTTGTCCCTGTTCACTTATTATGCCAATTGTGAAAACACGTAGTGGTCCCTTATTACTCTGTTTATTAATGAGAGAAATTACACCAGAGCTCTATAATATATAGTTATATAATAAAATGTAGAAAAATGTGAGGTTCATGTGCTAAAAAGGGCACTTGAAGTGTAATATAATGATAAAGAAATTTAAGGTTTTCTTTCAATTCTACTGGTAATCAGCCTCATTCACTTTTTCATGTATTTCATTGCTTTAACTCAATGTTTTGATTTTTGAACTGTTATGTCCTGACTCTTTTTTTTGTTTTGAGAATTGAGATAACTGTATTGTTTTAAAAGAGGGGGATGATAAAAAATATTGTGTTGCCTTAACACTCAGTGCGTTATCATGACACAGAGGTATGCACCTGATGAAATCATAACTTTCTCAATGAGCTGAGCATTTATATTACGGTAAGATGAACTGGGTATTTTAGTGAATAGTTGAGAAAGTTTTTTGGGGAAGCAGTAGTAGAAGAGAGATTCAACTGTTCTGAAAGAAAGTAATTGTTAACTGTGGATGTTCTCCGCAGCAAAGAAAAAAGAAATGAGAAGAATGTAATAGTTGTAACTGAGAAGTAACAGCAATAGCCAGCCAACAAAGGTTATAATGCAGATGAGGGACTCATGTGTTGCCTCTTGGTGTTACACTGACGGTAAAACAGCAGCTGGTGAATATTAACTTTGAATTTGAGAGAGACTTAAATCACCTGGACGTCCCATCTTAAAAATCTGGTAGTGATAACAGATAATATCAGTTTTAAAGACTTGAGAATTTACTGCACTAATTTTTCTAAGCATTACCTTCACTGCTGACCACAATTACTCCAATAACTCCCTTGTGTGCCTGGAGCCTCTTTATAGTTTCTTCAATTTCTGCCTGAAATAAGAAAGGGAAAATAAAGCATGAGTCATCTTACCAATTTAGTAACTTTAAGTTTGATAATCCAAATACTTAGCATTCAACTGGTAGCCAGCAAAATCACTAGCTAGACAAAGAAATTACATGATCAGGATCAACGCACAACAACAAAATCAGTAACAGTAGTTTATTTTCCATTCTGTGCCAAAAGTTTGGTAGTTTATTTTCCATTCTATGCCAAAAGTTCAATCAGTGAGTTGAAATCAGAGGAACCTATGTCAGCAAAGAGCATAAATTAAAAATGGCGTGGTGCTTTCATTATTAACAACCTAAAATGGTCTAACCATGTTGAATTAATCTAGATGAAAAGCATGCCAAGGGTTGTATTATTTATGCCAACTTAAACATGCCACACTGCCATCATCAGATCTTGTACAGGTGTAGTAAAATTCAGATTTGCCTTATTGTTAAATATGCTTGTCGTGGGTGACATCTTGGACTCACCAGAGAGTAGTCTAATATATTAGAATGCACAAAGTCAAGGAAACTTGGAATTATTTTTCCTGATTTAAAAGATGATGATGCCTGGTATACGCAAGGTATCTGCTCAAATACGTACATGATATTTTAAGGGGTGCATCTATAAGTTAAATTTAAAAACACTTGATTTTCTTCACTACTCCACTAAGGTGCATTTCAGAAATGCACTCTACTGATAACTGCCAAATAAAATGAAACTTTGTTCAAATTTATTTTTAGAAGGGACAGCAAATAATCATTTGAAGTTCAATACAAATTTGAGATATATAATTACTGAAGTAAAGTGGGTTTATGTTTTAAGACTATTTTTTCAGTCTGGAACCAGCTATTTGCAAAACTACAACTTTAAAAATGAAAAACATTACTAATGATTTAGGAACTTTTGCAGTATGTATCCTCCTAATATATGTTTGATTTTCAATATCCATTCCATATTATTAATTTGTGGTGACTTTGAGCAATGTCTACACATCCAAATAATAAGTTTGACAATTCATTTACTAATTTAAATAATTCAATATGAAGTGTCATGTCATCCAAACATTATGAGAGCTGAGGCCATTGCTGGGGTGAAAATTGCTGTGATCACATTGTTATTGGTCAAAGAGCTGAAAGGCTTAATAAAAGATAAAGCAACATTGCTTAGAAAATCTCAAAACTAATTCATTTAAATAGCAGATGCAATGATCAAAGTCACTACATAACTTACGTTAAAATTAGAGTGTTAAAGGGTGGAGAAAACACTGCAAAAGTACCATTCAAACAAGTCTTGTCGCAGTTTGTTTGAAACCATCGTCATTTGTTGTGAATTCGTGCATTCTAGAGCTTATCGCAAAATTAGTCAGAACGACACATAAAGAAAATTTCAGAGAGAGCTAACATAATCTTATTCCAAATGGGTGCATTATATACCAAGGATATTCATCTACATCAAATAAAATTGAATTTTAACCTTCAAAACTCTGAATTTGCAAGCACTTACCATTTTGTCAGCGCTGGTAAGATGGCTGTGGTTGCTACGTTCAACTGCGCCTGCGCAAATTGAAAAAAGAATGCGTCATTCAAGATAGACCAAAACAACCCCTATTTGATTATAATTTAGATTATTAGGAAAATACATATGTAGCAATAAAATATCCATTTGAATTTTTTCTAATGTTTATTAATTTACACCTTTTAAAACTACATATATGATATATTCGGCATTTTAACAAAACCCTACTTCTGACTTTCTTCGATACCAATTTATGTAGTATCGACCGCTAGCATGTTATCCATTTTAAGCAGGAAAATGCCACTATGAGTGTAAAGAATATTTTCACTGCTTTTTATTTACTGAATAGCCTTTTGTGTGGATGTAGCTGTAACGCCCAATTTACTGACATCACAGACGAAGTATTTGGCAAAAGCAAGGATGGGATTCTTGCGGCATTCGGGGATTTTAATGCAGATAAACAGACAGATATATTTCTGATCTCGCCCACAGGTTTGTTTTGTTCCATCCTTGCCTCTGTTTTGGCTTTACATGCTAATTAATTGCAGTAAGTACCTAACGTGTAAATTGTAACTCTAGAAACTGTAGAAAGTACACAGTATTTAAGGCCAAAAACTGAGGCGAGTTTCGTCCTATGTTTTTCACTATTTACCGTATACATAATGATGTATAATCATAATAATAATAATACCTATTGACCCATTAGAGCCTGCGTCATCAAAACAAACGGCAGCCATACTGGAGGGAGACCGGAATCGTCTGCTGCGCATGAACAAGCTGTGTCTGTAGTTCAGTTTTTGTTTTCTGTATTTTCTTTGATATTTAACCGAGCAAAATGATGAATTACCGCAGGGTATTTGATGGGGAGAAGATAACTAACTTTACAAGCGTTCACAGACTGCCTGCAGTGGTAACAATCCAAGGTGAACGGACTAAAACCATAAACGGAGGAGAGACGACGAGGTGGCTTTGAATCAAGACTCATCGGACAAGTAACGGATAAAACTAATTTATTTTATAGCAAAGAATGAAGACCTAGCTGTACAGATTTTACCAAAAAAAAAAAAAAAAAAAAAAAAAAAAAAAAAAGTAGAAAACCAAAGACCTAGGTGTGTACGTTTGGAGCGCACGTACACTGCATATAAGTAGGCTAGTGTCCAAAAAGTTTGGGTGGAGAGTGTGTTGTTAAAAGGTGTGGAAATACCCAGGCAGGCATACCCAACTTTTATTATGAAGACTTACTTATTGCCTTGGGTGTAATTTGTTATCAGTTACGGTGCTCTCCGGATTTTATCGGCTGTCACCTACCTTTTTAATACCTGGTTAGCATTATTGTCAATTAGTGTCAAGGCTATATTTGCACACAGCTGAGCTAGGCCAATTAAATCAATTACCTCTATGAAGTGTATTTGGAAGTTAGTGGCTTAATTTTCGATTTGGTGTAGTGTTAAGAGTAATTTTATTTTGCAAGTTTATTCTACTTCAGGTGTAATTGAAATATAACCTCATGAAATGAATTTGCACTTTCCTCTGTAAAAAATGTTAAATTTTGCTCCTTCAACTGTAATGTTGAAAGTTACAATATGAATAAAAATCACTATTGTTATCTTTTTTTTAGTAATTTACATTTAGGAAAATGATCAGGCATTTCCCCATCAAGCCACACTGATTGGGTGCAAGTTAATAAAAAAAAAAAAAAAAAAAAAAAAA